ATTTTAATTAATATCTAAATTTTTATAATGATTTTTAGAAAAATAATAGACATTTTTCAAATTATTTTTATTTAAGGTATTTTTATTAAAATGAATAAATTAAATTTTGAAGATATGAGTTTTTGACCCAAAACCAAGGTCTAATATTCTATACATGTAGACATGGTAATGGTTCCCGAACCGTCGATTTCGGCTTAGGAACCTTTGGTTAAGGTTTCACCAAAAGGTAAAACCTTAACCAAACCTTCTATGGACGGTTTCGATTTTGGTTTGAAATCGTAAAATCGACGGTTTGAAACCGACGGTTCAACGGTTTTTTTATTAAATAAAAAAATAAATAAAAATCGAACATTTTTCTCAACATTAACATTGAATGAAAAAACTTCTTTTTGCATAATGTATAAATATTATAATATTTTTTACATTATAATGTATTTCACACAATAAATCAAAGAAAAAAAGAAATAAATAAAGAAGGGCTTGAACTTAATTTTTGTAAACACTACAAAAATTAAGCTTCCTACGTATCCTCTTGGGGTTTAGAGGAATCAAAGCTTACGTAGTTTTCTTTTACATTTCAAATTACCCCTTTACAAATAACATCTATGTTCTATATAGTTGCGCCTAGTTACTTTCTTGACCGGAAGTTTCGACTTCGAAGTTTCGTTGTTGTGCCGTCGAGTGTTAGATCCATACTTTCTTCATTGAAATCATACTATTTTTGTTCTTGTGTTCTCTTATCGGCTCTTATCCAATCATCCACGCATACTTGGGCTTCAAGTAACTCGGGAGCCAATTGTGATCGCCTATTATCCAAAATATTACCTCCGAAGCTAAATGCTCTTTCAACGTACGTCGTTGAAGCTGGCACGACAAATATTTATCTAGCTATTATGGACGGGATCTGGAAAGGTGCTTGCATGTCTTTTTCACCAATCAATTACTTCAAAATCTACACCGCATTGCTATCACCAAACTAAAACACGAGTTGTTAGATAAATATCAAGCTCGGAAGTGGAGCCCGATGATCCTCTTGGCCTTTTTGTCCTTTCCATGGCCATAAGATAACCTAGCTTTAACACGTTGGCTACTTGATGATGATTGTGGCATAGGTGGTAAAGTGGAACTTGCATATTGATCACCTATAGTTAAAGACATTTCAATATATAAATCTCTAACTTGTTTTATAATAGAAGCAGTTTCTATTTCTACATTTTTATCAAATAATTGCAAATACTTATAATAAGTATTCAAAACAACGAGAAAGACCTTCCATTTTAAATCTAGGATCAAAGACTAAAGAAACAAGATAAATAGGTGAAATTGTTTCATAATAACTTAACCATTTTTGTTTCATTATTTGAACGACAACATGTAAAGTTGGCATATCTTGTTCTACATGATTAAAAGCTTCAACAATATTAATTGCTTCAATCATAAATAAATGTGAAGTTAGTTGATAAACGGCACTAAAAGTGTATGTTGCATTGTTACAAACACTTAAAAGTTCCAAAAGTGGTTCGCAAATATCAAAATCATTTTGACAAATAAAAACAGAATCAATATTTTCCGAAAAAAATGAGCATAATAAATCTCAATATTCAAAAGATCGCCTAAGTAAGTTATATGTTGAATTCCAACGAGTTGGAACATCTTTTGAAAATCGTCTTGGTTTTTTATTTCTTTCTTTGCAAAACTTTCCCCATGATTTCATCTTTTGGGGATGTATCCATAAATATTTAGCAAGAGCTTTAATTGGCATAAAAATATCTTTAAGATATTCCAAACCAGATTGCACGGATAAATTTAAAACATGACATATGCATCTAATATGGAAAAACTTACCTCCAATATGGGGTTGACAAAGTTCTCTTAAAGACTCTACTGAAGCATCATTAAAACTAGCATTATCAAAAGAGATTGAAAATATTCTTAAAGGTAAAACATATTCATCTAAAATCCTTTTTAGTATTTTATATATATTTTGAGCGGTATGTTTATCATCAAAAACTCTATATGCAAAAAGACGTTTTTGCATGTGCCATTCATTATCAATCCAATGACAAGTTATACCCATAAAATAGTGTGTTTGCCATTGATCGGACCATATATCGGAACATATAAAAACACGACTATTCAAATTTGTAAATAATACGATTAATTCTCTTTTTTTATCTCTATATAATTTTATAACTGTTTTTTTTAAAAGAATGTCTTTCAACTTGCTTGAAAGCGGGATTCAAAGCGTTAGAACAATAATCACTAAAACCCATTTTTGATCAAAACTAAAAGAAAAATGATAAACACATATCATTTTAGCCATTTCTTCTTTATTTTTTTTATCGGTATACTCGAAATAAATAGGAAGATTGAGAAGCAAACCCGGATATTTGTGTCCGATGTCTATCATTACCAAGTACGGATGGATGCTTTTTCTCCAAATGGGTTTTGAATGTTCCATAACCACCTCCTTGTTTGAATGTGTATTGCTTGTTGCAGTAGTTGCAAATCACGGTAAAAATGCCTTTTTCTAACGGAACTTTTGAGAAATGAATTTTGAAGATGTCGGATGATCTAGGTGTAAAATTTAATTGTTGTTGTTGCTCCCCTTCCCGATTTTGATTGGCGGTATTACTTTGTTGTGATGGCATATGTGAACTTGAACTTGTCATTTTTTGTAGTATAAAAAAATAAAAATTTAAAAATTTAAGAAGTATTTGGAGTATAAAAAATATTGTAGGATAGTATTGAGAATTCTAGACTTAAGAGTTTAAGAGATTGAGAGAGAATGAGAGATTGAGTTGTGAGAAGAATGAAAAAAATTGAGAGTGAGAGAGTATTTATAGAAAAGAAAAGAAAGAAAAAACTAGAAAACGGTCACAAATGTTTGTGATCAGTTGAGTATGTGACAAACGATCACGGACCGTTTGTCACATACTCTCATATATATTAAGTCAAAATTTAAAAATTATTAGGCTTAATTTTTTTTTCATTTTTCAGTCCAATAGTTACTCGTCCATCCCATATAAAATTGGTTTTTTTATTAAATTTTTTTCGACCCAATCCAATTTATTAGGAAAAATGTGAAACCGTCGGTTTAGAACCGTCGATTTCAATTTCATGATATCTTAAACCATAACCAACCCGTAGGTAGCCGGTTACGGTCCGGTTTGATTAAGGTTACGGTTTTAATGGTTTCGGTTTGGTTTTTTAACGATTTGATTTTGGTTCGGTTTACGGTTCAAACCGAATCATTACCATGTCCGTATACATGTGATAAGAATGTTTAATTGATATTGATTCAATTTATGGAAAAATTTTATACTAGTCTTAAGGAAGATTGGACATAATATTCTTAATTAATAGGGACATTACACGTTAAATTTACAAAGGAAAGGGAGAAGGCTTGTTATTTCACATTCATTGCACTAGGAATGTAGAGGAACACCGAGTAATATTCACGACCTATTTTGGTCAACGATCGAGGATATTACATGCAATGTGAATGAGAACTTGAAAAAAATTGAGCTTTTTATAAAATTTAAACAATATTGTAAAGATTACAATATTGAATTGAATAAACTTAAAGGAAAGAGAAACTATGAGTATTCATACATTGACACCTTGGACTTAATAGTTGATGAAAGAACTGTAGGAGATGGTGGTTACGAGCACGAGCAAAGGATTAAGAACCAACTATTAGCCTACAAGTTATTGCCTATAAACTTTCACCTTCGACTTACTACCTACGAGCTACTACCTAACAAATTTCGAGTGTAAAACTTGTGATAATGCTCCTCGAGTTGTTTGCAAGAATATGCTTGCATTTGGTATTGTTGTGTATTGTTCTCTTTGGCTTTAGTTACTATTTATAGATTATATGTTACTCCATGACCTCTAATAATTTGCCTTCTCTTTAATGCATGTTGTACTTGCTCTACATTCTTTTTTTTTTTTTTGCATTGCAATACATTCATGCTTTTCTTTTCTTGCTCTGTGATGCCTTGCTTTGTTGTTCCTTATGCTATAATTCTTTCGTTCATCCTAGCTATTTGGGTCGTGTTTTATTGTTACTAGAAGTTTGTTATTCTTTTAACAACTTGTACATTACTTATTACTAATCGTTTGTCTTCTTTTAAATGGGATTTTCATGTTTCATCCAAGCATTAGAATCTATCTTCTATTAGTTTTAAAGAGAGCTCCAACTTTGGCTTGAAGTAACTACTAGGGTTTTCATGTGCGTGTTGGGCCCAATGTGCATGTTAGGCTTAACTGGTTAGCAAATGATCTTTTTTTTTAATGGATCCAATCTAATGGGCTCTTAAATGAGATTAACCAATAAATCTATTTTAAAAATTCGATGGGCTTCTTCCATGTCTTGCATCCAATTTTTTGGGATCGGATAACAAATTTAGGTATAACATCGATCAATAAATAATTATATCATATAAGTAAAGTAAAATGGTAAAAATATCAATTTTCAAACCATGGTGATCGAGGTGCCTAAAAATCTCAAATTAATTCAATTAAGAAAAAAACTCAATTTTCATCCCAAACCTATACTGAATCAAATGTTTTAAACAATTCTGAATTGATTTTATTTTATTTTGGTTAAATTTCATCCACATTTTTGTCAAATTTTTTTTTTAAATTTACGTCTTTTAGTTTATAAATATGTACACGGCACAAAAATGATAAATTCATTAACTTTTCTATCAAATTTTTGTAAAATGAATATCATTTTAATATATGAAATATGTACATTAGATATAAACTATTAAAAAATAATAATAAAAGGATATGATTAAAAAAATAGAAGAAATATTTGGAAATTAATTGATAAAATTTGTAGTTATGGAATGTAATTGAAAATGAATGTATAGGTTTGGCAGCGAATGGAGGTTTCCTTTGTATTAATTGGGGCCAAGTTACGTTAAGCTCGGCTGGATGCATTATCCACTTCCGAAGGGATAAAAAAATCCTCAAACCCAAAGCCAGTCATGAAGAACTGCAGCTTCATGAAATTAGACCTATCATCTTCAATAACCAAACCCTCTCTTTTCAACACCACAACCATCTTTCTTTCATCTTTGAAGGATGAAAAACTACTTTCTACAACTCTCAAAACCCCCTTTTATTGGCACCCCACAAACATAAAGCAATCTTCAAAACTTGTAAGTACCCGTGTCTTTAATTATCACTATGAGAAGAAAAATACATTCAAAATCTTATCTTTGCTTCAATTTTTTTAATATTTTTTTATTATCAGTTGTTTCAGTTTTTAAAGCAAATGGTGGCATAGCAAATGCTCGAGTGCCAGTGGAAGTGGAAGTTGCAGAGGGGTACAGTATGACCCAATTTTGTGACAAGTTGATTGATGTGTTTTTGAATGAGAAGCCTAGAGTTAAGGAATGGAAAAGGTATTTGGTGTTCAGGGAAGAGTGGAATAAGTACAAGGAAAGTTTCTACACTAGGTGCAAAACAAGAGCAGATAGAGAGACTGATCCAACTGTGAAGCAGAAATTGATTTCACTTGTCTCTAAGGTCAACAAGGTAACATAGTTATGCATCTGTTATTTTTCACTTCCACTTCCTGTTCCTGGAAAAAATTTAGTAAAAGAAAGGACATTGGTATATATTATTATTAATGTTGTTCTTGATTTGTTTCCTAGGATTGTTGTTTCCAACTTGGTGTTTTTTGATAATAAAATCTTCTGAATTTCATAATAATAATAAATTAGAGAGAGAAGATTCTTATGTTTTTGTGTCTTAAAAAGAGAAATGTGCAATTGGGAAATCTGGTTTTGCCTCTGTTGCTATCCGTTTTCTTTTAAATGAGTGAATAGAGGGTTAAGAGTTGGATACATGTATATACTGCGTTGGGTTTAGAGACTCGTTGGATTCTGGTGTACTCAGGAATAAGCGTTGCAGATTGATGAAGATATGGAAAAACACGATGAGCTTCTTAAGGAGATTCAAGATAACCCAACTGACCTCAATGCAATTGTTGCAAAACGGCGCAAAGATTTTACTGGGGACTTCTTTCGTTACCTTGCTCTTCTTTCGGAAACTTACGACAGCTTGGAGGACCGTGATGGTAATTACTAGAGCACTTAGGATGTGTATTATTTTGATGGATTGTGCACAATGTTTTATGCCAAAAAATTCCATGGATCGTGAGAATCCCTTTTTTGCTCGGATGGTTTGATCATATGCTAACAGAACTCTTATATAAGCACATAAATTCTGAAATATTGGTCATTTTGAGGATGCTATTATTAGCTTACATGGTTTATGTAAATAGAGTGTTGTTATTTACCAGATGATGAGACCTATCATGAATTTGTTTCAAATGCAATCACAAATTGATGCAACGAATTAAAATAGTAACCAGAATAATCTGAACTATATCCGTCATGCCATTTCTTTTTCTTTCCAAACTAAATTACTCTGTTATACCCAAGCCATTCTGAATACTGTCAATCTAACCACGTTACCTGTCCTGTTGCTATGAGAATGATTAAAACAAAAAGATTGCACCTTGCTTCTTCTTCTTCTTCTTCTTCTTCTTTTTTAATGAATCAAGAGAATGGATTAATTAATGAAATGGCATATCCTGGAGTTGTTCATAGATTCCAAACCAATAACTAAGAATTATAGTTGTTCCAAAGTAAAGAGTCCGTAGACAAGGAAATGGTTATGGCACCTTGACAAGCATAATAATGGGCTTATAATATGTGAACCAGAGTGGAAATAATGAGTAATTGCCTTTCAAAATTCACTTTGAGGGCTTATGACTAATTTAGTGGAAGAATAATGAGCCTATGTTTCTTGCTTGAAGTCAACCATCTAACATGGTTGACTGTTGGTTTTAACAGGGGTAGCCAGGCTAGCTGCTAAATGCATGTCTGCTGTCGGTGCTTTTGATAATACACTGGAGAGTTTGGAGACTTTAGATGCTGCCCAGGCTAAATTTGATGATATCCTTAACTCTTCTTCAGTGGATGCAGCATGTGAAAAGATCAAAAGCCTAGCCAAGGCAAAGGAACTTGACTCTTCTTTGATCCTATTGATAAATAGTGCTTGGGCAGCAGCAAAAGAATCCACTAGCGTGAAAAACGAGGTAAAATATATGTGAACCTTGTATTGAGGATCTTTTTGCTGGTAGATCATGGGGTTCATTTGCGTAACTGCTTAGAATTGTATATTGACTGAAGAAGATGGATAAGAAGCCAAACTAATAAATCATGTTCGCTTTTTTTATTTAATGACGAAGGTATCTGTACAATTTGGCCTGACTAATCATCCAGATATATCCAAACTGCTCAATCTACTTGTACCTGGTACGTCCCAGACCAAAGTCCACTGGCGTTGTCTAAACATGAAATTGTTTGTACCTGGCAGTGGTGGGAAGCAAACCTAAGATGTGTGCCTAATCCACACGACCCAAGCAAGCCCTAACCAATAGCCAACCCTACAGGGTTAATCCTTTTTGCAATTTCAGTATCTCCAGACAGTTCTATAATATGATGCATACATGTTAACTATCATGGATTATAGTATGTAGTCTTGAACTGCTGAAGTGTTAAATCCCACAGACTAAGAGTGCTGCAATTCCATGACTAGTTAAGACAGTTTAGGGAAGCTAGAATTCATGAAGAATCTGTGCCAAACCATTGCTAAATTTAGATAATATCTTAGCTTTTGAAATCAAAGTAAATTTTGCCTGTGCTACTGATGATTTACATGCTTAACTCTGTCTCTAGTCATGCATTCTAAACCTTAATTGAAAAGTTAATTGTCCTTCAAACTCCTTTTCTCACTACACTTCTTGAGAACTGACCAATATGATTACTTCACTTAACAAGCTAAACATATCTACATCATGAGATTATTACTCAGAGATTTAAACCGCTAATTCAGAAGGGGAAAAAATAAGGAAGAAAAACTTCAAAATTGTTACTTAATCTTTACGGCAATGTTTCCATTACATTCATGTGTTTACCATGCTGCACTTGCCACTGTCAACTTAATGTCCTTAGAGGCTTAGACTCTGATTTCAGGTCAAAGAGATAATGTATAGTTTATACAAAGCCATGAAAAGCAGTCTGAGGAGCATTGCCCCAAAAGAAATAAAGCTCCTTAAGCACTTGCTGAACATCGCAGATCCTGAAGAGCGATTCTCAGCATTGGCAATAGCATTCTCTCCAGGTGATGACCATGAAGCCAAGGATCCTTATGCTTTTTACACGTAAGTGAGCTTCTTATTCTCTAGTGGTTCAAGAGATTCAGGGATGGGTTTAATGCATAACATCTTTTATTACCTCTTTGTTGCTGTGTAGGACTCCCAAGGAGCTGCACAAATGGATTAAGATAATGCTTGATGCATACCATCTCAATAAGGAGGACACTGACATTAAGGAAGCCAAGCAGATGTCTCAGCCCGTTATTATACAAAGGCTGTTCATTCTAAAAGAAACCATTGAAGAGGAATACTTAGAAGAGACTACATTTCGAACACAACCAGAAGGGGACACTAAATTGGAGTACTAGTAAGGTACCGTCCATTTTTATCAACGCCTCTAGCATAGTCTTTCTATTTTGTGATAGATGTATAGCTTCCAAGATGAAGCCTCAAGCTGCAAATAGTGAGGCCACTTTTCTGCTTCTGTTCTTTCATCGGCTCTGTTCAGTATTGGAGCTGCTGGAAGAACTGAGGTGAGACTTTTTGTGGAACTCTTTGCAGCGTAAGAGGATTATATGACTTGACAGCATTATTCGTCTTCTCTCTCTTTGGGGACTGACCACCTTTTTTTAAAAAAAAAATTTGTTTAATTAAAATGTTAATTACATTTATTTTGGCAAAAAATAAAAATAAAAATAAAACTTTTGTTAATGGTTAAATTTGACCAAACATTGTTCCAATCTATGTTCGTCACCTGTCCGCCTCAAGAATTAGAAGAATGTCATGCTTCTCGCATGTTTTGACACTAGTTGGACGGAAACCTAGTCTTAGTTGTCGAAGGGATATGATCAAGATTTCCACTATTATTTCAGGGACTATTGGCTTTGCTTTGGATTATTTATTTAAGAAGTATCTGTGCTATGACCAAAAATTAAAAGGGGTTGGCACATTTTACTGTAAATTTTCGAAAACCTTGGTATTCTAGAAAAAGAAATTGGGCTTGGAGGGCTTTATTGAGTGGAGATTATTTCTGCAAATATAAATGTAGACTTCAGTCTTAGCTTTGAGTAGACACATCTCTCTAAATATAATTGCAGGGCAAGATCCCAAGATTTGTGGAAATGTCACTTCTCCTTGTCGTGTACGGATTGAGAAACATGCTTCTCATATGTTTTGAGTTAACACGAATTAAACAGTTTCTCTTGGTTTAAAAACTAATTAATTCATTCATTAGCTAGTTTTGATTATGGTAAGTTTAGCATTATTTTATTTTAAAAAGTGTTTTTTTTTTCCTCTCGTCGATCTTTTCATATTTTTTATTTATTAAAACAAAATAAATTAAAAAACAATGAAAATGATTAAGTTAAAAATATAGTAACTAAATAATTAGTTCTTAAAACTAAATGGACTATTTAATTCCTTTTGAAAAACAAGATAGACTAATTTATAAATTACTCAATTTAAATTTATTAGGTTATGAAATGAAAATTAATTTTGAGTGTTGGGTAGTGTCTGGATGCTAATATGGTAGTAGGACAGTATGCACTAAGGAATCGTTCAATAGACCGAACATTGTATTCCGTGGCTTTCATAAAAATATAAGATAAGATCTCATGTTTTTTCTAAAAAGACGGAATACAACTTCTAATATATTTAATAATTTTTCCTAAGCATCCAACAAAATTAGGACTTAAACATAAGCCTTGAAATTATATTGTAGGAGCATGAAATCAATTCATCTATCGACAAATCTATTGAATATCAAACCCGTGCAACATATGATGAAGCTTAGATATAGAGCTACAAGTCCTTGAACTTGAAGAGCAATTGCACATTAGAAGTTGTAGATGGAGCGGTGAGAATAGTTCTCTAATTTACTAGATTAGAAGTTTGATTTTTATTATTAGAAAATCTTTATCTCTTCTTTGCGTGGCACTAGGCATGGATTGTTGGTGGAATTTAACTTTTAAAATCGATTAAAGATTAGACGTGATGTAACACTAATCTAGCTCAAAAAGTGATGGATCTAATCTATATCCGAGAATAACTTACTATCTGTAAGTAAAAAAATAAAAATAAAAATTGTCAAAAAAATATTGAAATAAGAAATTAGTTAACACCCATTAGCCAACAAATCCATCACTTCTTAATATTTATATTGTATATATTCAATTTTTCCATAAAATTTATTTAAATAATTTGATTAATTATGTACTAACATTTTTTTTTTTAATTTGGCATGGATCCATGCTACAAAAACAGGTGGATTGGAATGATGATGAGTTTCGTCTAGCACAAGGTTATGAATCGTACGAAGATGGATACAAGTATTTTCATGGCTTGTCTTTGTAATGTATAAGAAAGATTTACTTGATAGAATTCAAAATTGGATCCGCTGAAAAAATGTTATATTATCACTTCCTTTAACTTTTAATAGTAAATTGAAATAGTTTTTGTTTTTTAAAAAAACTTTTTTTCTAAACTCAATTTTTTCTTTTTTTTTTGGTCAAGATAATCTTCTTTTTGCTGCATCAATTATAGGAGAATTCCAATAATTTTTTGACTTTTTTTAGCTGAAACTCTATGCTCTTTTCTTCATGACTCTCATACACTTGTATCACATAATTTTCAAAGTTCAACTTACTTAGACCCTAATTACTCATTCATCTATCATCTACCTACAACGGGACTTGCTTCTTTACATGTTTATATGTTTATATATATATATATATATATATATATATATATATATATATATATATATATACAAGTTTTTTTGTCTTACAGCAAAGCTGTGTTCCAGTAATAGTCCCTAAATACATAATTCCAAAATTGAAAACATTCTTTTCAACAAAACTCTACTCTCAAAATTCACTATCTATATGGAAATTCTCACTTGAATCAATGCTACTAGTACTTCTATAAAGCCAGCATTGCACTTTTGAAACCCCGATAACTTGGGTTCTTAATTCTGATCAAGTAAAATACTTTTTGACTTATTGCACCTATATTTAAAATCTAAAAAGAAAAAGAAAAATATAAAGAAAATCCTGAGCTGTACCGAATCAGCAGCTTTTGAGGGTTAGCTTCAAATAACAGTTCTCAGTTCCAGGCATCCACGATGATACCTTTGCTCATATTGGCAATGTGGAAAGATCTTGATAGAATCTTTGTCATGGGGAAATTGAATATAGTCAGGATTTTTTACGAGATGCAATTTTTCTACTCTTAGAGATACAAGCAATAGGAAAAAAAAAGACCCTAATTAATCAAACAATGAAGGCGATCTTGTTATCAATTATATTAAAGTGAAAAGGGAAAAAGGGAGACAGTGAAGCATACCAATCACAATCTGTCGAAAAGGATAGGCAGCAATATTATCATTTAAAGAATTACGAAGCATAATAAGATCATATGAAATTGTTGAGAATTCTTGACATCAGCAGCAATACAAGTGCATGGCAAGCTCATAATTTGGATTGTTAAATGTTTGAAAACAAAATCTAACATAGAAGTTCCATTGCATACAGACATGAGTTCAAATCCATGCCCATATTAAGCTCTACTTTCGTCGTGATGAACTGCCAGCTTCATCCATTTTCTAGCTTTCTGACAAATTTACTCATCTGATAAGGACAACAGCAAAACGTCCTGGTCACACATTTATCCACCATCCAGCCTGAGAGACCATTCTACAGAAACTTTAATCACCATTCCCCGGCTCCCTTCAGTCTTAGAGGTTTGGCTGAGCATACAATAATTAAAATAGAGCCAACTGGTTGTTACGTATTGGAAGGGAAAACATCCCTAAATAACAAATTCAACTGAGTTGAGCCAAAAAAACAAAAAAAAAAAAAAAAAAGGAAAGAAAATGAGACAATAACAGTGGCAGAAGTTTGAAAAAAAAGGAGCAATTTGATAAGTACTCTTATATTACGCCAGCTTATGATCAGGGTGGTTCTGGGTTCTATCTCATCTGAATATGGCGTGAACGACAATGATGACCTACTAATTTCTACAGGGAAACATATTGCTAAGATCAGGAAAGAAAGAAACATGGAACCAAGTGCTAAAACAAGAAAAAGAAGCATACCACCATAACCAATGCATCAGAATTACGTACGAATATGGAAATAAATCTTAGCTCTTCCATGTTCCACTTCGCCTACCCTCCAGATAATTAAAGAATTACGACAGTCAATCCTCGTGGTTCTCATCTACAATTGAATTGCAAGAGGGCCACTTCAATTCACTGCCACCACTGCCTCTGACATGAAAAGTATGCTTCGGACTTGCTCATAAACAGCACTGATATGCTCTAATGCTTAAGGTTGTCAGTAATGCCCAGCCTTGTTCATCTGATGAATAACCACAACCCCATCATAAATAATTTACATGTTAAATAAAGACATGTCAAATGAATTAATTATTCAGTGATAAAAGAGAGGGAAAAAGAGAGAGAGAGAGAGAGAGAGAGATTGAAATATACCTAAAATCAAGCTTATCACAATTTAAAAAGAAAAGATTAAAACTTCAAAAGTTTAATTAAATTGATCAAAATTATTTAAAAGAAGAGGGGGAGAAGCATCGATGGACATAAAGAAGTTTGAAATGAAAGAAATTGAAATATACCTAAAATAGCTTCCACATAACACAGTCCTGCATAGAAAGAAGAAAAGGAAAAAAAGAAGGGAAGGGAAGCAGAGGAGACAAGATGAAGAGTTGAGAGAGAGATTTGAAAAATTAATTCAAACTTACATAATGATTGTTGGGACATGAGAAATCTTGGGCCACTCAGAGCCCTTGTCCTTCCTACAATTTTCTGAAAGAACCGGCCAAATATAAATCCTTAACTCCTTTAATTTGGAGAGGCTTTGCATGGCTGTTGAACTTGGTAGATACTTGAGATTCTTGCAATGGCGGATAAAAAGATATTGAAGAGATGAAAGGTTGCCCAACCAATGTGGCAAAGATTCCTCAAATTCCTCTCCCTTGAAGTCTTCTATAGACAATCTTTTATGGGCAGTGAGGTGTTATAGTTGATGTGGTACACTCTTCAGTTTATCCCATCCATATATCTGCAGGATTTCAAGGGACCCACCCAAGTAGTGTTGGATTGAATTCATAGCTCCTCTGAGAAACCACCAATACTCAAATTCTTCAATTGGAACACGCACAAGATCATGCATCATGCAACTTGTTACGATCTCATACCCACTCCTTTGAACAACTTGGAAAAAGGAGTTTGCAAGCAAGTCATTGAAATACTTGTTACCTATGTCTCCTATCCTCCCATGTGATGGCCCAAGAAAACCTTCACTCGTCCAAAGTTGATTCAACACTCCCACAGGAAATGGAACAATATTGGGCATGGCAGGTCTTGTAAAGACTACTATAGCCAAAAAGTTTGTGATGAAGTAAAGGGCATAAAACTCTTCCATGCAACAATATGGGTTAGTGTTTTTAATGATTTTAATAAAGCTGGGGTTTTAGGAGAAGTACTGCAAACTCTTGATAAAACTACCAATGGGTTAAAAAATCTGAATGCAATTCTTGAAAACCTTAAGAAAGAGCTTGAAAATAAAACATTTCTTCAAGTACTTGATGATGCGTGGAATGAAGACCATGATAAGTGGGATAGTTTGAAGGAGCACCGTTAACAACAAATGCAAGAATGGGAATGCTGTTAGCTCTTCCCTTTCAATGCCAAAATCTTCAGGAAAAATGGAACAGTATGCAAAACATTTCTTCAATGATGGTGATGACAAGTAATCAAAACTTAATTTTGATATACACAAAGCTTTATTTCCATCCTTAGAATCCCAAATTTTACTATTTAGAATTGAACGCCTCCTGTGTCTCCTTTTTGCGCAGCGTTCCTCTTAAAACACCGGCAATTTATGGCATCTTTCCACATTTCTAAATAGCTTCCAAGTCTGAATTTACCAACACTCCTTCGCTCACACTCACTTTCTTCTTGATAATGGACCAACATTGATCATCTGATAGCTTCCCAGGTTCATGCCCACAATCAAGAAAAGACTCCATTGTCTCCACGACTTGCTTGCTGCCGGTTGTAAATACAACAACATTCCCATTCTTGCCATTGATTGTTAATAGTTGCTCCTTCAAACTATACTACTTATCATGGTCTTCATTCCCACATCATCAAGTGCAAGAAGAAATATTTTCTTTTCAAGCTCGTTCTTAATGTTTTCAAGAATTGTATTAGATTTTTAAACCACTGGTAGTTTTATCAAGAGTTTGCGGTATATCTCCCAAAATACAAACTTTATTAAAATCATTAGAAACACAAACCCATATTGTTGCATCGAAAAAGTTTTCTGCCCTTTAGTTCTTCACAAGCTTTTTTTTGCTATAGTAGTCTTTCCAAGACCTGCCATCCCCAAAATAGGGACAACAGAAAGAACTTGTTTATCAATCGAGCTAATCATCAGTTTCATGAATTTAGAGACATCATCCTCCCTTCCTATTATAACTTCTGAGCTGTCAAAGGAGGTATGTCTCTCGGTCCCAACTGACTTCAAGAGCTCTATCTACATATTGTAGAGGTTTAATTCCAAGCCCAAAGCCAGTTGCGAGTTTCTGAAATTCATCGAGGGCTCCATTGATCATCTAACTTTTTGACCCACATTCAAACGAAATGCAACAGGGTTGTGTTTCGAAACGAAGTCACGTACCTGCTTTCCCTTCTTTTGGTCTTTGCGAAGAATCTCATAAGCAAACTCGTCTAGAACATCTTCAGCATCATAAGCTAGGTCTCGAAGCTTC